TCTTGAAATTTGTGTCGTGTTGTGAAGATCTACCGTCTCGTATGTAGCATTGGATGTTTCATGATTGAAATGTCCATTAGCTGATCAGTTTTCTTCTTCTTGTCAATCTTTCTTCTTTTAATGGTTAAGTGCTTTTTTATACACATTATGCAGAAATCCACCGCTCTGGGGAACCATGAAGTATCTATCTGAGAAAATTCCAAAAGATGCTTCAAGCAAAGTGCGGATAAAACGTGATCTGTACTCACACGAAAAGTATGTCCTACCTGAGAGAACTATTACCAATAGTATTTTGTTTATGCCTAAATGCAATCTCCTTTTCACTCTTGGCACCCCTAATTGCAATCTCAATGTTCTTGGTTGATGATACATAGAAAAAATCCTCGGGAATAATTAACGTGTGTTTTTGGATATTTCAACTGCAGAATCATGGAGATAGCACCAACATTGCCCAATTTCGCATTGGCCTTGAAACCAGAGAAATTCCAACGTCCTCCAGTAGACCCCTCTTGGAACATGGAGCACATGAATAAGGGCTCCAACCAGCTTAGGAATGACAAAATATAAGCAATACATGAGTGTAGTTTTTGCATTCGATTAGGCCCCATGTTGTAGTTTTTTCTTTTTTGTTTGGACATCTTGTATGTACATTTTCATATATTTCATAATTAAATACTTTTTCTTGGTTTATTAATTATTGTTTAGAATTTATTACAATATTTATTAAAAAAAAAACAAATATTTTTACAAAAAAAAAAAAGGGTTTGCGCGACGAAGAAGATACCTGCGTCGCGCAAAGTGGGTTTGCGTGACGCAGGACCTGCGTCGTGCAAACCCACTTTGCGCGACGCATAAGTTACCTTCGTTGCGCAAACCCACTTTGCGCGACGCAGGTCTTTCGTCGCGCAAAATGGGTTTGCGCAACGAAGGTAACTTCTTCGTCGCGCAAACCCTTCTGTCACTGCCTTGGCGCGACGGTTGGTGCGCGACGAAGGTTCGTTGCGCTAATTTTTGCGCGACTTTTTTTTGACTTTGCGCGACGAAGCTCCTGCGTCGCGCAAAGTGTTTTTTTTACTAGTGCTTCTAACATTTTGTAGTTCATTCCCTACTAACTTGGCCTCAATCCTTAACATAGCCTTAAGTATATTGAATGTAGAGGTGAATGAGTTTTCCTTTTGACAGCATTAGTCAAATTACACATAAAGAAAATTTATCTCTTCCGATCCTTCAATTTTGAGGGATTATAATAAATAAATTTTCTTAGTGAGTAATTCATCTTCTACTTTAAATTGTAGCATCAAGTTGAACACAATTTTTTCATTTCAGCCTTGAACATATCTTTTCTCCCCTCTTCTCTTGTAAACACCAATACCTGACAAATTATACTTGGAAAAGAACAAGAAAAAAAATACAAGGGAGACATGTAGCCCAAATTCTGTGCGCGATAAAAAAACACAAGAAATGTCAAAACAAGTACAAACCTATATGAAATGAGGATGCTAAGTACTAGACCAATTTTGTTCAAGGCTGAAATGAAGAAAAAAAAAAACACAAGAAATGTCGAAACAACTATGTGATGTTTCAACATATGCTTTGAATATAGTGAGATATATTTTTCAATCCAATCCTAGAACAAAGCCTATAATAAAGAATTGGTATCATCCAACTATTAAGGAAGGTCGCAACAAGTAAAAAGTTGTGTGAAGTACACGAAGGGTCTTTCAACATATTTAGAATACTGTGAGTTATATATCCCAATCCAACCCTTATCAACATACAGGGATATATATCGAATCTTGGACTTATACCAATTACGAAGAAAAATATCATTAAGCTTAATTCCTTTTTTTTTCTTGCTCCCAAAATTTATGTATTCGACAAAAGAAAAAACCTCTCGGCTGGAGGGGTACCTCTATATGATTAAGGGAATTTTACACAAATGACACTAACTGAATCTTATCACTTTTGTGTATTTACCAACTGTGACTACAAAATTACAGTTAATTACCTAGCTAGGCTTGAAACACAATATGCTACATTCAATTACCTACCATGCACACTTTTGTTTTGTTAGTCGCGTGACTTGCATAGTCTAACTTTTTGAGGTCAATTTCGTTAATTTACAAGCAGTGGCAGAATAAAAGTGAAAAGAAAATTCTTATTCTTGCTATATATAGAGAGTTGTTGTTCACACTCCAACACAATACTTTTTATTACGAAACAGAAGTTAATATTATAGAGTTTTGGAACATTCTAAAAATTGCAATTTTGCATGCATGTATGGGACTATGCCCAGGTTATCCAAATGGAAAAATAAAATAGAAAATGTTGTATGGCCAATTCATCCCTCCATAAATCCACCGGCCGGACCCGAACAAAAATTGTTAATGGCCAGCCAAGCTAACCCAACGAAGTACCAAGAACAAAATGCCTTGTGGCTTGTGCTTTGATTACTTTCAACCTTGAATTTTACAGACTCCTCAAAACTCCAGCACTAATTTGTATTCTCCACGAGCAGTCCACGACTCTCCAACTACACCATATAAATATAAATATATGACAAAATGCTAAGGGGACTATCTCAAAAGTATGACTCTTTATAGACTTTCTACCGTTTCACAGTTTAACGTCAATTCTCATGTCAACATTATAAAATATTGTGCAAAAAAAATGATGTGATAGAAGATCCATAGTGAGTCTCCTTAACATTTCTCTAAAGGGTAATGCTAGATAGACAAAAAAATTTAACTAAATTTTGTAAACCAAATGATGAGGTTGTTTATGATTGGATTATTACTTAACTATTGATTAATGTGTTTATTTCTTATTAGTGACACGTCATTTGGTTTGCAAATTTAGTTGTACTTAACATTATCCTTCTATATATATATATGTGTGCGCGCGCGCATGATTAATCTGACTTTTACAGATTAATTTTACTTTAACTAATAATAACAATGTGATTAATCAAAGAAGTTTCCTAGATATGGTATTTGACTACGTAAAAGTAAACTCCTTCACCTGCTCACTTTATTATCCCTTCCCTCTAGAAGATTAAAATAAAGTATTGCCGTTAATTATCTGGTGCTTAACGAGACATCCATAATCCATTTTCGGAGGCCTCAAAGTCAACATATTCATTTGCGTGCTTGGTATACTTTTATTTTTAATAATTTTATATTAAGTATCCGATAACAATGCTTGAAGTGGTTAAGTGCACATAATTAAGGATAGATTATTCCACAAAAGATCAATTTGTAACATTAATTGTTGAAAAAAAGAAGAAGTTACATTTAGGTTGGCGGCCTCAACAGGCTGGATTAATACAGAAGTCCAGGTTGGACATCAGCTTTTCTTAACCTCATTAATACACGGACATACAGATACGTGCAAGTTGTATAACTATAACTACAAAGAAAGGCTAGTATTTGTTTCACGATAGATGATAAAAGAATAAAAGAATATATATATATATATTTATCGGATTGAAATAATGAAAATAATAGAATCTCCTACATTAAGTTAAAATGAAGTAGATTTTAGTTATCAATATTGGACCGACTAATTATTGATCTAATCATATTTTTCTTTCCAAAAGGATAAAATAGAAGTTCGAGTCTCTCATCTCTCACCGACTCTCTCATAGATCTTAAGATATCATCATTCAATATCGCAAATAGGAATGGGGCCAGTGGGATGCCCAACTAAGACTAGTGGTGGCAGAAGTTATAGTAACGGTGGCGGTGATGGTCTTCGGTAATTGCAAATTGAGTTCCATCTCCTTAAACGCAACATCTAAAGAAAATAACAACTCTTCACGGTGAAACTTGTGTTTTTTAAATGTGAAAATTATATATTGTGAGACTCTACACTTTAACAGCCTGATGTCATGGTAAGCCTAATCAACCAAGAATTCACGTATTAATTGAAGAAAGAATACTTCAGTTTAAGTTTGACATATCGATAAAATGCTCTTAATTTAAGTTGATAGTCGATCACATGAGCATGATGACGGGTATGACTATACTGTTAGTAACAATTTCACTTATATATTTACCTATACTTAAAACAAAACAAAACAAAAGTGTTAAAAAGTTATTAACAAGCAGGCTTAGGGCAAGTAACCAATGTTCAAAATTATGCAAGATTTGAGTACCCTAGACACAATTGTTTCATCATTTACCTTTTTTAAACTAAGTGTGGTATGACAGATGAGACACATACCTTGACCATTAAGGCCTATTTCCTTGTAGTTGCGTAGAGTATGAGAAGTGAAAATGATAACATTAGTACTTTCGATCGTTTATAACATGCTGAAAAGGACTGGCAACAACTATAGCACTATGGCTTTGACAATTTTTCATTTATCACTTCAATCTCGCACTCGGCATTCCTTTTTTCTTTTCAATGTTTTCATACTGTGACGAGAGAGAGAGAGAGAGAGAGAGAGAGAAATGGCATGTAAATTTCTCTCCTTCCTGGCATCTTCCGCGGATCATCCTTTACTTAAAGCTTCTGGAGTTTTTGTTTGTGGCCACTCTTGGGCCTCTTTATTTTAACCTCATTGGTTTCTTGTTGGGTGAAGCCCATTTATGTCTTTGTACGTAAATATTTTAGGAGACAAAAACTGTAGTAAATCTCTCCGCACATTCTTTTTTAAGGTATTGAGATCCTCTCCGGATCTCAGAGCCTACGAATCCAACAATCCGGACACTTTAAGACAGAGATATATGAACGTTGGTGAGAGATTGTGTGTGAAGTAAACCAATAGAATGGGCTCATGGGGCTGCAATGCTGCATGACTTAAATTCAAGAGTCTAGATTACTGAGTCCGGCTCCAAAGTGTGAGATCCAGAGAGGATCTCAATCCGGTTTTAAGAAGTGCTGATGTGCATTATTTGGACCCCAACCATACTTTGTTAGGTGGTAAATTGTAAAAACTTTTAGTTCATGGTAGTATTTGCGCACTTACCTAAAAGTCCAAGTGCCATATGTACAGATTTCACAATTAGTTTTCATTCAATGGGAACAAAGCTGCCCTATACATGACAGGCCGGACAAGAAGTCTTAACACTAAAAACTACATCCATGCGTCACTAAAATTAGTAGCATCTTGAGGTTAAACTAAACATAATATACAGGGTTTGATTAAAATACATCACATGACCGATGGACAATATGAATTCAGAGGCACGGGAGCACAAGTAATATCAACATTGTTGCTCAACGTACTAACTGGACTCTGCCCGTAACAGGTTAAGGGCATCGCAACGTCTTTCTCCCCGACACCAACACTACTATTTGTTAACTGTGGAAATTGCTTTGCCCTAAATACTCCCCACAAATAAAACTTTGTCTGAAATCCTGCAACCCGATAAATTCAATCATGTTATTAACTTGTCCAGAAGAGCTATAAGATTTTTGTTTTCTTTACTTGTGAAAGAAAAGGAAGTAGAAAAGCTACAAACAAGCAGAGATTTCGGGACTCACTTCGATACTGCTCTGGCAGTATAACTGACGTGAAAACTAAGAGCTCAGCATCCTCCAGCACAGCTCTCATAGCTAAATCATCCTGGATCATGCTAACCACCAGGGTATCAAAATCCTTCTCATCTCTGTACCAAAAAATAAAAAGAAAAGGGATGTTGCTTTGTAAGAAATCCAATCCATACAGGAAAAGTAGATGGAAACAAGAAACACGGTCAAATTTATCACCTTTCGTTATCAGGAAAGAAATAAAGAGCAATACTCTGATCGTTAGGTCCACACTTCTCGAAAGCTTTGGGCCACACATCTGTTCTATTAACCAGTTCTGGAAAAAGCAGCAACGGTAGCAATTCTGCCTCCTCACGTACTTTAGGACATGCTAAGCTAGAAAGATGGGCTACAAGTCCACTAACAATGTTGAAGTCTTTGTTGAATATGCTGAGACTTCCCCTGTCATTTAGACAAAGCATCTCACAGTTATACCCTGCACTAGATGTGCTTGAACACGTTCACCATAACTCAAAAGAGTCGGAAAGCAAAAAAAGTTTTACCTCCAGATTGGATCAATAATAGGCTGTGCAGCAACATAACAAATGATTGCTGAGATTTTTAAAGGGTCGCAAGTAGTAACTAGAGAGGTTTCCACAGATTTGGCAATGTCATTGGAGGAATTGAATTCATCCTTATGAACCTCACTGCACCGACTACCAAGCTTCTGACCATTATCACAATCATTACTACCCTCGGCCTCATGTTCAGAGGTACTACCTTCACATATCTGCACCTTTGTGTTAGCCCCTTCATATACCTTCATGTTAGGCCCTTCACATATCTGCACCTTCATGTTAGCCCCTTCACATTTCCGCACCTTCTTTTTAGCCCTGTATATAGGTAAAGTCTTTCTGTTACTCTTCTTTTTCCTCTTCTTGAACTTCTTTTTCCTCTTCTTGAACTTCTTGTTAAGACAAATTTCCGTTGATCTTACTGATTTATCAATTCTAGAAGGTTTTACAATCTTTGGATCACAATCCTCACAAAGCCAAGTCAGATCTTCATCAAAAATATTCTGTGCTGGTACATTAAGGCAATAACTGGAAAACAGAAATAAAAGAGAAGATTCGTCATTCAACCAGCAGCACATGCAGAACCAATTACAAAAATATTGAGAGTTCGAAGTAGGTCACTTTGTGTGCTCTTATATTTGTACATATGATTTCAAGGACTGAACCCAAACTTCAATAACCAGGAAATGAGCATATTTTAGAATAGTGTGGCACATATATAACAGTATTGTCACATCTTTTTAAGGAGACTGAAAAAAGAAAAACAAAAGCACAATTGAAACAAGTTATACCGATGAAGAGCGTAATTCTGGCACTTGTCACAGTAAAGCAAAGCATCTTCGATACCTTTGTCCCCACACGTTTGACAAACAGTCACCTGCATCTAAAAAAGGTCGTACCCAGTGCACAAGGCTCCCGCTTTACGCAGGGTCTGGGAAAGGTGAATGTCGGCTAGCCTTACCCCCATTTATGGAGAGGCTGCTCCCAATATGGAGAGGCTGTCACCTGCATCTAGTACAACATAATCAACGTTAGCATTTTTCTTCCCTATTTATTAATCAATAGGCTGAAAATAACAACAATCGGAAGTCCCACAGCCCAAACCAAATATATACTTGCAAAATACCAACTGCACATAAGCAACCAAACAGAAGAAGCTTAAAGTATAAGGTGATGGGGATGTAAAATATAAATTTCACCCATTCAACCCTTAATCATATGAACAATCCAAAGTTCCAAAATTAAAAAAAAAACAAATGTTTCCGTTCACCCTTAATCTTTGAGTCAGCCAAAAAGGTGTGATTTCACAAACCTTGACATTTTGACAAGGATTACCATTAAAAACATCTATTTAATAGCCCTGAATCAAATAACAGCTGCTACACCAATGAACCAATAAACCCATTTTTTATTGTATACGAATTGCACACACATATAAATGCAAAATATATCACCCGTCTTCTTTATTCCCCCTTCCCCTATTGACTGATAAAAGAGGACATAACCACATCAAGCACCGCAAAATTTGGACACTAATGGTAAAAAACAGTGATTCTCAAACACTTGTAAATATAGGGGTTTGATATCCACAAACCCTTTTTTACTTCTCACACACCCCTTGTTAATTTCTGTCATTTGATCTTCTTTAATTCAATCGATCCAATGCCCGCAAATTAAGAGGGTGTGTATAAAGTAGAAAGGGTTGTGTGGATAGCACACCCCTAAATATAATGCATGTTATGCAGTTTAACTGGGGAATGTACAACTACTAAAAGTGAAAAATTAGAACCACTAAAGTACAGGCAGGTATATTGTAATCTGGTTAACCATCATTCTCCAAAATCTTAATACTTTCTCCATCATCAAGTCAGTTGGGCTTTTTTATTTTTTAACATTAGGTTTGAAGTGTTTTTCTCTAAAGATCAAGTACCATCATCTTTTAGGATGGTACAGTACATGCACACTGCAGATATGGCATAGTCAAAATATGGTACACCAGTCTCTACTTTAGACAGTCAAAATAAAAAAAATTAACATAATGGACCATCGTTGAATGTCGTAGTCACTAAAACGCAGCATAGCATATGTCAAATCTACTGCTTTCCCGGTAAAACCGACATCTTTATGGCCACAAAACTTAAAGGAGGAGACCAATCGACAAAGTTCAAACGCTAAAAGGTTTTTGCTTTGCCAATGGCACAAAACCAGATCACCCACCACTTCACTCTCGAAAACTTTACTTCAAAAACTGCATTATTCCCTAAAATCCCATAATTCTACTCCCTCAAACACCCACCAGAGAGTTCCTACTAACTTAACCTAGGCCCATTCAAGTCTAATAATAATTGGCAGATCCAAACTTTCAAAAAGCAAAATTCAAAAAATCAAACAAAATTACAAAATTCAATTGAAAAATCGCAAGAAAAATGAACTGGGAAATGGGCAAAGAAACATACCATAGTTCGCCAGTAGCTGAGGAGTCCGACATGCAAGTGAAGCGCCTCAATTTTCAGAGAAATTGACTGCAATGCGAGGGTTTTTGGGGAAATTCAGAGCGAGAATGTAAGGGAATTAGAGTTCGGAAGGGGCCATCTTTCTCTCAGTCAAACAAAGAATTCAAATTAGTCAGGAATTCTTTCTTTTGTTTTTTGTCAACAAATTGTCAGTCAGAACAACTCAGAAGATACAGGGTTGAACTCAAATACCTGCTTTCAATCATTTTAAAACCATAACCAAACGAATGGTAGAAGCAATGGGGAGCTTTCGACGGAACTTTTGAAAGGCCTAAATTACCCCCTATATAATATTCAAATTACAACACTTACCCTAACTTGACTCTCTTTGGCGTCTTGGGAGTAGACTGGATTTTGCTCTGTGTTTCTCTCCAGGCAGCAAGCTGTTGCCGCCAAACCTCTCCGCTTCCAGTGGCCGCCAACAATCCGTCGCAGCTACTACCATTAGGTTTGCCCACCCTTTTCCTGTTAGAGGTTTTTTCCTGGAAAATACGCAGAGTTGATCGACCGGTGCATAGGGTCGAAGACGTCACTGAATAGTATGATTCAACTTTTAGATTTATTGATGGGGAATTTATACGAAGAACAAGACAGTTGGAAGTTAATCAAGCAGAATTGTCTATTTCAGTCAGAAAAATTGATCAGGGAAAACAGTTTATGGAGAAGTCTGAATCGAGCTCTTACAAGTAATAGGCAGTACAATTCATCCAACCTCACTAATCTCTTATTATTATGTCGATTCTCTGGGATCATCCAACAGAATATATGAGCCTTCCGGAGCCATCGTCGGTGTCGAATGAATCGTTCATCGCTGTGAAATTCGATACCAGGTTTGATCCTATGGTCGCTGACCTCAATGGTTTACCACATTGGTACTCATGTGAACACGGTTGTGAATGTTGCCTGTGTCGATGTTGTTTTAAGAGGAATTGATTTGACGAGTGGGAGGGAGATTATCGCTTGATTTAGTACAGAGATGCTGTCAATATTTTCGGGTTTGGGTCAGATCTCGTCAACTAGGCTTCCAACGCCTCTTCTTGTTGCTCAGATTGACCTCTCCAACCAGTTCAAGGAGTTCATGCGTGTCACTTTTTCTGCCTAGAATGGGCAGGGCTCTTCAATTCACCTTGTTGGCAGGTGGAGATTCAAGACTTTCGGATCTCTTCCAACTGGGATTACTACGGTTGAGTTTGAAGAAGGGGACTGCTTCACGTGCTCTTCACCAGAAGATTCAAGTACCAAAAGCAGCCCAGAAAATCGTTCTCATGGAAGAAAAACAAAGGTACTGGAGATGGCTCTTGGTTTGGGAGGTTGAGCCGCATTTGTCCTCTCCATATTCGCACTCCATTTCGTCATTTGTTTTGTATGTGTGTAGAAGAGAAAAGTCACTGCCAGAAGGAGCAGAGAGGGCAAAACTTGTTGAGTTGAGGCAAATAAAGTTTTGAAAAGTTTGTCACCAAGATCAGCTAGAATGGGGTTTAACCGAAACAGGGTTGTTGGGGAAGGGGCATCGGCTAAGGTTTATAAGGAGTCTCTGCCCTCTGGTGGATAAGTGATAGTGAAAAGGTTTGAGAGGGCTGATGGAATTGGTAGTCTCCTTAAACCATAAAGTTTGCAACTATGGTGGGTTGTTTGCGGCACAAGAATCTGGTTCAGCTTCATGGGTGGTGATGTGAGGGTAATGAGTTAGTCCTGGTGTACGAGTATACCCAATGGAAGCCCCTGCTAAGTTCTTCACAAAAGCTTCAATTCAGCAATTGTTCTATCCTAGAAGCAAAGGCTTAATATAGTTCTCGGAGTCTCATCTGCTCTTGCATATCTTCACGAGGAGTGTGAGAGGCAAATAATTCATAGAGATGTTAAAACTTGCGACATAATGCTCGATGCAGATTTTAATGCCAAACTTGGGGATTTTGGTTTAGCAGAAGTGTATGAGCATAGTGTTGACATGTGGCTCGATATAAATCTTGGTCAATTACTTTGTATTGGTTATCCTTGTTTTTCTCTCCATCACAAACTTGTTTATGGCTTTACGTATTAGAAGGCAAACCACTTGTTTTGTAATAAAAGGAGCCCACGTAGAAATAATTTGTGTGAGCCAATATGTGAGATTCTTCTTTGTACATTTGTTATCTCAATCAGTTAATAAATTGAGAGTTATTTCTTTCATTTTATTTGTTCCATTTGGTGCTCAAGCACAACAATTGGTATCAGAGCCACTAGGCTCATCCGTATCAAAGTTTGCATTTGAAACCAGCTTGACGAAGATGGGTGATCAATCAGAATCGGGAGGCGCGCATCCTTTGCCGGAATCACACGCTTCGCGTTTGGCAAAAACGACAGTTCAAAATGCAATGTTTGAAGTTGAAAAGTTCGATGGAACAATAACTTTGGTATGTGGCAATGTGAGGTTAAAGATGTGTTGGCTCAACAAGATTTGGATCTGACATTAGAAGACAAGCTAGAGGATATGGAAAAAGTTGAGTGGAACAAGTTAAATCGAATGGCTTGCTCTACAATTAGCTTATGTCTTGCAACACCTCAAAAGTATTTTGTCATGCGAGAAATGTCATCTAAGTCGCTATGGCAAAAATTGGAGGACAAGTACATGACAAAGAGCATCGAAAATCGCCTCCATTGAAAAAACAGTTATACCGATTCCAATACAAAGAAGATATGAAAATGATTACACACCTCGATTCATTTAACAAATTAATCGTTGATTTGTTAAATTTAGATGAACATGTCAAGGATGAAGATAAAGCCTTGATTTTGTTAAATTCATTACCTGAGGCGTATGATTATTTAGCTACTACTTTAATTTATGGTAAAGACACCATAAATTTTGAAAATGTGTCTAATGCATTGATGAACCATGAAGTTAGACATAAAGATAAGCAAGTCCATAATACAGCATCAGATGCTTTGTTTGTTAGAGGCAGAATGAATAAAAGACGGAGATTCAATAACAGAAGAAGATCTCAGTCTCGACCACGAGGTAATTCACAAAATAGAAAAATATTAGACAAAGATGAATGTGCATTTTGTCATACAAAGGGACATTGGATAAAGGATTGCCCTAAGTTGCACAAGAATAACAGAAACACCAATGCTAATGTTGCACTTAGTGATGATGAATCTGATTATGTTTTGGCTGTTACTTCTGCTTGTGATTAGGATGTATGTATTTTGGATTCTGGTTGTTCTCATCATATGTGTCCAAATCGAGATTGGTTTACTAATCTAGAAGTTGTAAAGACGGGAACTGTTTTATTGGGTAATGATTATGCATGTGATAAAAAGGGAGTAGGAACAATTAAGGTGAAACACCATGATGGCATCGTTAGAGAGTTGTCTAATGCGTGGTATGTTCTTGCTTTGAAGAAAAATTTAATTTCTTTGGGTGCCTTGGACAACAATGGGTTTAATGTAAATATGTCAGATGGTGTTCTAAAAGTTATTAAAGGTGCTTTGGTTACGATGAAGGGAATCCGAAAGCAGAATATATATTTCCTGCAGGGAAAACAGTTTTAGGCGGTGCAGCCACAATTTCTGAAAAATCAGATACTAACAACACCAAGTTATGGCATATGAGACTTGGACATGCTGGTGAAAAAGCTCTTCAAGCCCTTGTGAAACAGGGACTGCTGAAAGGAGCGAAAACTTGCAAGCTCGACTTCTGTGAGCATTGTGTCTTAGGTAAGCAAACCAGAGTTAAATTTAGTATTGTTGTGCATCAAACTAAAGGAATCCTAGATTATGTGCATTCAGATGTTTGGGGTCCTACCAAGATTGCATCATTGAGTGGTAAGCACTGGTTTGTAACCTTTATTGATGACTACTCTAGAAGAGCTTGGGTTTATACAATGAAACGATGAAGTGTTAAATATTTTCTTAAACTGGAAGAAAATGATTGAAAACCAAACTGGTAAGAAAATTAAAGTTTTGAGGTCAGATAATGGTGGTGAATACACCTCTGATCCATTTTTGAAAGTTTGTAGAGAAGAAGGTATAATAAAGCATTTCACTGTTCGTGATACTCCCCAACAAAATGGAGTTGCTGAAAGGTTAAACAGAACGTTACTCGAAAAGGTTAGATGTATGTTGGCTCAATCTGGTTTAAGTAAGGCATTTTGGGCAGAGGCAATTACATATGCTTGTCACATTATCAATCGTTTACCTTCGTCTGCAATTGAAGGTAAAACACCTATTGAGAAGTGGACTGGAAAACGAGCTTCTGATTATGATTTTCTTCATATTTTTGGTTGTCCATTTATTTCCATGTGACTCAAAGTAAGCTTGATCCAAGAGCCATGAAGGCTATTTCTATGGGCTTTAATAGGGTGTCAAAGGTTACCGTTTGTGGTGTCCAGATTTGAAGAAACTTGTAATCAGCAGAGATGTGACTTTTGACGAAACTTCTATGTTACAAAGCAACTCAAAGACAAGCGTTGATACGACTCAAGTTCCTAAGAGAATTTTTCAGGAGGTGGAGTTTTAAAAGATTGCTACCACTACTCCACTACCTGTTTTGATTGAACAAAAAGTAAATGAAAGTCAAGAAGATGAAGATGTCTCTTCCCAGGATGAAGAAGAGGCTCATACCCAACAGCCTCCAGTTATAGAATGCATTGCTACAAGCAAAGCCAAGATAAACACAAAGAGACCAACAAGATATAGTGATTATGTTGCTTATGCTCTTCCTATTATTAATGCAGAAATCCCAGAAAGTTATAAGGAAGCTATGAACAGCTCTAAAATACAGAGTGGGGTAAGGCTATGGATGAAGAAATGAATTCTCTTATGAAGAACAACACTTGGGAGTTAGTTCAATTGCCTCTTAGCAAGAGAGCTATTGGCTGCAAGTGGGTGTATACCAAAAAAGAAGGTCGTCCAGGAGAAGACAATGTAAGATTCAAAGCACGAGTGGTAGCAAAAGGATATACACAAAAGGAAGGTATTGATTATAATGAAGTATTTTCTCCTGTTGTGAAGCATTCATCTATTCATATTATGTTAGCCTTTGTTGCACAATTTGATCTTGAACTAGTGCAACTTGATATTAAAACGACTTTCTTACATGGAGATCTTGATGTTAAGACGGCTTTCTCAGCCTGATGGGTATCAGGTAACTGGAAAAGAGAAATGGGTTTGTAAATTGAATAAGTCTTTGTATGGATTGAAGCAATCTCCAAGACAGTGGTATTTGAAGTTTGACAAATTCATGAGAGGTCAACACTATTTAAGAAGTCAATATGATCATTGCGTTTATTTCAAAAAGTTGCAAGATAGGTTTTTCATTTATTTATTATTGTATGTTGATGATATGTTAATTGCATCGAAAAATGTTAAGGAGATTGAAAAGTTGAAAGCAATGATGAAGAACAAGTTTGAGATGAAAGATCTTGGTGAAGCGAAAAAGCTACTCGATATGGAAATTACTTGTAACCAATAAAAAGGCTTGGTGTATCTTACACAAAAGCAATATTTGTGTAAATTGCTTCAATGTTTTGGTATTAATGATGCCACCAAACCTGTAAGTACTCCAATGGCTCTTCACTTTAAGTTAAGTGCTTTGTTATCTCCAAAAAACAATAAAGAGAAGCTACAGATGAAGAATATTCCATATTCTAATTTGGTTGGTGGCTTGATGTATATTATGGTATGTTCTCGACTAGATATTGCTCATGTCGTTGGTTTGGTTAGTCGCTATATGCACAATCCAGGAAATGAACATTGGCAAGCAGCTAAGTGGATTCTAAGATACTTACATGGAACTAGAGATGTTGGCTTATGTTTTCAGCGAAGTGATAGCAGTTTTGAGAATTTTGTGGTTGGATATGTTGATTCTGACTATGCTGGAGATTTGGATAAAAGAAGATCGACTACTGGCTACTTATTTACCATGGCCAAATGGCCAGTTAGTTGGAGGTCCACACTACAATCCACAGTCGCTTTGTCAACAACGGAGGCCGAATATATGGCAATTGCAGAAGCTGTAAATGAGGCCATTTGGATACATGGACTGATAAAGAATCTAGGAATTTATCAAAAGCAGGTGGAGCTACATTGTGATAGTCAAAGTGTTATTCACTTGTCTAAATACCAAGTTTATCATTCGAGGACAAAGCATATCGATGTTCGGTTTCATTTTATTCGTGAGATTTTGTCCAAAAGAAAGATTATTCTTCATAAAGTTCCAACTGCGGACAACCCAGCTGATATGTTAACTAAAGCCCTCAGACTTGCCAAGTTTGAGCATTGTTTGAACATAGCTCATATACTATGTGCCTGAATATGTTTGTGATTACGAATCTCGCCAAAGTGGAAATTGTTGACATGTGGCTCGATATAAATCTTGGTCAATTACCTTGTATTGGTTATCCTTGTTTTTCTCTCCATCACAAACTTGTTTATGGCTTTACGTATTAGAAGGCAAACCATTTGTTTTGTAATAAAAGGAGCTCACGTAGAAATAATTTGTGTGAGCCAATTTGTGAGATTCTTCTTTGTACATTTGTTATCTCAATCAGTTAATAAATTGAGAGTTATTTCTTTTATTTTATTTGTTGCATTTGGTGCTCAAGCACAACACATAGTTCCATCAGTGCAAGGAAACAACTATACCGGCCGGAACAATGGGATATCTTGCTTCGGGATACGTTTATTGAGGTGTTCCAACTGTTAAAACTGATGTTTACAACTTTGGTGTGGTGGTGTTAGAGTTGGCGAGAGCGAGAAAGCCGGTGGAGGATGATGGAACAATGGTGGTAGATTGGGTTTGGAGCATGTGGGAAAAAGGGAAACTGATCGAAGCTACTGATCCAAGGTTGTTGGGGAAATTTGATACGGTAGAGATGGAAATGATGCTGATGATTGGACTTGCTAGTGTGCACCCAAACCTTGTGAAGAGGCCAACGGTGAAGGAAGCTGCAAAGATTTTTAAAGGCGAAAAGACGCCTCTTCTGTTGCCTTCAAGAAAACCAAAGGTGAGCCTTCGGCCTGTTTTGCCTGATGATGTACAATATTTGACTCCGAAAAGCCACTTTGACAAGGATTAGTTGCTTGTAATAGATCAAGTAACCTCACAATTATTAGGATTTCAGTGCAGTTTGTAGAAGAGAAACTAGAAACTTGTTGTTGGCTAAGGAACTTGAGGAACCCCTAACTTGTTTCAGTTAATTTGCAGATTTTGTAGTATGAAATTGTGTTTGATGTCTTATAGTAATGAAATGCTCAGTGTCCTTGTCTGTTTTATCATGATTGACATGGTCTCAAGCATTTTGTTATAAGATGATGGACTTAATAATTCAAATGATGTTCGAAAGATTGAATTAAGTTTCGTGTTTCATCCAAATATTCCTTTCGAATTTTGTTATTTGTACAACAATATATGACTGCAGATCAAGACAACAGTGTTTTTCCATTAGTTACAAAAACAGACTGAAACACGTCAATTCTGTAGTTCTATAAAATTTAAATTCAACTCCCCGATGTTTTCAGAAAATGAACCTCGTGGTTCATTCTTGTACCAGGAAGAAACATTGAGGCCAACTCCACAGCGCTCGGATAGTATTTGTCCTACTTCAACTCCAGCTTTGCCAATTCTTCCCAAGTTCATGATGCAACTGACTTTACAGGGAACTGAAATGAAATGAAGAAATGAAAAACTATTGCAATGAGAAATTAAGCAGATTTTTCTTCGTTCTTTGTAACTCATGAGATTGAATTCATTGACTAAGATGGCGAAGCAAAAAAATATCTTTAATGACAATAAAGCTGATGGGATAAATCGATGGGACTTGCCTGCATTTATTATAAGATAGTAACTAGTAACAATGTCTTTTGTGGATTTGTTCTGTGTCGTTGAAGCTAGCACTTACAAGTCCACTTGAAGTTTCCTCGTCGCTATATTCATGTGTTCGTTTTAGGATTTTCAATGTTTGGTTTAGCTCTTCCAAATCTTGCTTGTACACCAAACGAGCCCCACACTTCTTCACACTATTGAAGTTTGCGCATTGTTTTGGCACTTCGATATTTTCAATGGAAGTTTTGAATAAAAATTGTTCCTGATGACAATTTTCACGAGTCCAATAAAATACCCAAAGATGTTCTGACAGAAGTGACCCTATTTCAAAACCCAAAAGGTTATCCGCTAAAAACTTAATAATAAAATAACCATCCTGAGAAAGGTCAAGTGCATTGGGAAAGTTTTGGTTAGGATCTTGAAAAACAAGACAAAAGGCAATTCCCAACCAGTCGGTACATGATGGTGGTGGAAGCTTCACATTTACTGAATTTCCCACACTCTGATTACTGAACCACTCTGGAATTTCACTTCCAGGCCATACAGGGCGCATAAAGGTATATGGATTCGGTAACTGTAACAAAAGAACTATTTTAGAGAGAGAGAGAGAGAGAGAGAGAGAGAGAGAGAGAGCGAGTGTGTGTGTGTGTGTGTGTGTGTGTGTGTGTGTGTGTGTGTGTGTGTGTGTGTGTGTGTGTGTGTGTGTGTGTGTGTGTGTGTGTGTGTGTGTGTGTGTGTGTGTGTGTGTGTGTGTGTGTGTGTGTGTGTGTGTGTGTGTACGTACCGCACGATAAGTGGCAAATCTTGGAATCCTTGAGAGTATTGTATTAATCCAGCCTTCATCTTGAACCAATGCAATGCAATTCTTGCAAGTGAAGTCAAAGTCATACAAATTGGTGAATCTGCTGCTCAACTTGGATGCATCTCTCAACCTTTTTAAGGATGTACAATTGTCTACATTCACAGATAATTCGCTATTTGATGGAAGAGGTGGCAATTCTTGAAGTCTTTTGCACCTGTACAGATAAAGATAGTTGAGCTTAGAAAGGCATCTAATGCTTTCAGGTAGACTGACGAAATTATTTCCACTAAGATCCAATCTTTCCAAAAAGGACAAGCAGCCAATATCATCGGGGATATCTCCTTCACAGAGTTCACAATCTTGTAGAATCAACTTTCTCAAAGAGCAAAGACGATTTAGAGAAGACAACACCAAACCCCAACAAGGAGGATCAAGATGACTCTTTCCGAGTCGTAATAAGCGGTGAATGCCCCACCCCTCCCTTGCTTTAGCTTCCGATCCCTCAAATATTAGATATCTGAGATTTTTCATACCCACAAGCGGCTCTTTCATAGTGGCTCCCAAGTTAAGAAACTCTAAGTGATCCATGTCTCCTGGGAGTTTGTCAATCTTTGAGCATCCTTGCATTCGGAGTTTTCTAAGAGACTTCAAATTACAAATATCCCTTGGAAGGTTCAAGAGTTTCTTGCAGTTACGTAGACACAACTCTTCAAGGCCCACCAGATGTCCAATTGATGAAGGTATTTTCTTGATCGCAGTCCCTTTTAAGGAAATCAGGGACAAATTCTTCATCTGCTCCCCAAATTCTGGAATCTTTTTCACATTTGAGCAGCCATCAAGATTGAAAGTCTCAAGAGAATCCATTTCAAGCTTACTTGGGAGGCTTTTAATGCTTTCACAGCTATTAAGGTTCAGAACTTTAAGTTTTTTAAGGAATGCAATAGACCCGTGGATCTCGACTAAATTCTTACATCCCAAAAGATGCAACGTCTCAAGATTTGGAAAACCACTAAAATCTGGGGTATTAATCAATTGATTGGAGAAGGCAAGATCAATATATTTCAAGTTGGGCAAGTCCTGTACAACAATCGATAAGGTTCAGATCATATATTTGGCTTCTACAACCTTAAAATTTATTCAAAACAATAAATAAATAAAAAGTAAATGATTATTTTGTAAATTAAATAGCATTTATTCAAGGATGAATAATAATTAGCTACTCATTAGTGAGTACTCTAGACTCATTTTTTGTTTTGGTCCAATAAGAAAATGTCACATGTTCTTGTTTTTAACATGTCCATTATTTTTTTTAAACAATAAAATATGTGTTAAAATATCATTGGACAAAATTAGAAAATGAGTACTGACTAGGGATTTATTTAATACTACTCTTACCACTTTTCCCTCCCAAAGCCGAAGAAGTTTGCTATTACACATCTTAAGTTCAGTAAGCAAGTACAGGTGAAAGCTGGTTGGAAGAAACTTGGAAGGATAGAAACTCCAATTTATAATTCTCAAGGAACATGGAAGAAATTTGGGGCCTGAAGAAAAGATCAAATTATTGAATTCCAAAAACCTCAGGCCATGCATCTTAGAGAAGGCTTCGCAATTCCATTGGCGTACCTCTTCTACTTGGGGCGGGCGTAAAGATATAGCTTCAATTGCTCTTGACCCCTAACAATTAAGAAAAAAGGATAAATTAATTTTACAATCAAGTCTACTTTAGTGTCAAAAGAAATAGTATCTTCTTTCAAACTTGGAATTTAACTTCTTACCGTATTGGTCGTAAGTATATGAAAAATGTCATTGGAAAGCCACAACCTACTGCGCAGACCAGGCTCTTCAGACTCTTCACGAACAATTGTCCATGCCATTTCTTGTATCAAATCATGCATCTCTATCGTGTTCCTGGAACCATTGTATACGAGAGATCTCTCAATTAGTACATCTATCATACTACTACTAGAAATTCCAAATGAATTGTCTAGTAGCCGCAATACTTCCGTCGTGGGCTTCCCTTTGTGGAGACATGCAACATCGAGAAAAATTCTCTTCTCCGTCTTTTCTAGTCCATCATAACTAACTTTGAGTGAATCAAAAACTGTTGGATTAAGAATTTTCCTTAGATTATCTCGTACACTATTCCATGCATCTTGACCTCTCTTATACAAAGACGACCCCAAGGTTTTAAGAACTAATGGAAGGCCTTTAGCATAATCTAGGAAATGCTTAGACAGTTCCAAAAAATCTTCCTCAGGTTGGTCTTTTCTAAAGGCGTGCAGGCTAAACAGCTCAAGTGCTTCGGCATCATTTAACACCTCGACATTATGACACAATGATACATCATGCTCGACCAGCAGACGTTCATTTCTAGTTGTAACAATAATTCTACTTCCCATGCCAAACCAATCTTTCTTTCCAGCTAGTACTTGTAGCTGGTTTACTTGATCCACATCATCAAGTACAAGAAGAACCTTTTTGTTGCATAAGCATTTCTTCGTGTAAATGATCCCCCATTGTTGGTCACTAACGTTTTCAATATTTTCTTTCAAGATTGGGAAAAGAGGTTGTTTTTGAAGACGAACTAGAGTACGATCTGTTACAGAAACAACTCTAACGTTTTCAAGAAAGCAATGAACTTCAAAATGATGGAAGATTTTATCATAAACTAGCTTAGCAAGAGTAGTCTTGCCTACGCCACCCATCCCAGTTATCCCAATAAACCGAACATCATTTGCGTCATGAGCTAACAGCAAACTTAGTTGCTCGAGCGCAGAATCAGTTCCGACTAACTTCTGTGAGGAATCTAATAGCGTGCATGTAGCTTGCACTTTCCTCTGCACGCATTTGACAATGTCATCAATTAGCTGTCTTTCAGACCTGGAAGGAAGAAAAGTATAATAAGTTAACCAAACAGGGGCACAAAAGCAAGAAGAACAACGAAACATTCAAATATGCATGCTTACTTAAAATTCTTCGAATGCCACCCAGAAATTTTGGATACTTTTTTCAAATCTGCTCTCCACTGGGTCACCTTCTTTTTGTCTTCGGTACTAATGAACTTTTCTTCATGCTCAGTGAAGGCTTCGGCAAAGGACGCCCTCTGATTGCCTATGTCAGATGGATTTGTCTCGTAAAAGACCGGCATAATTGATTTCCTCGCTTCCATGCATTGAACAATGTTTGTGAGTTCGTCCAAGCACCATTTGGAATGAGCATATTTTGGAGAGAGAACAACGATTGCTGTATGCGATGCTTTGATTGCACCTAGGAGCTCTGGAGAAATACTTGTTCCTCTTTCAAGCTCTCGATCGTCATAGAAAGTCGTAATTCCTTGGCACTTGCACAATTCATGGTATAAATGAGACACAAAACCCCTGCGGGTGTCTACACCCGTGAAACTCAAAAACACATCATACTTCCATCCAGGAGCTAAATCATTCGAAAGAAAAGATGAAGAGGCTCTTTGGGTGCTCCAAGTCAATGCCATCGGAAAAAACAGTTGCTGTAAATCGGGTACTGCAAACAGTAACTGAATGAACAAGTAAAACGATAGAAGATCAACGAGAAGCACAGTTTCACTCTATTCTTGATTTGTTCTTCTTTGAGAGCAGACCTTCCGACCCAACAACCATTTGCATATATAAAGGTCCCCTGCTATACCAACACAAATTCAAATTCATATATATTATCCAAATGTAAACCAATTCTTAGCTAATTAAGTGAGTAAAATTATTGACAAACAGAGTTTAACTAGTTATATATGTATGTGTGTGATTAAAACCCCAAAATAGACTATAAACAAAGCAATGTCCACCTACAGGCATGCCAGTTTAATTAGTTAAACCCCAAAGATTAGAAAACGTAGTTAACAAAAAATCAGGCATACGTGCTTCTTTGTGATAACTATGGATGTAAGTTTATAAATCTAGCTTTCATAGAACCTCTATCTTTTGAACAATGAGCACTTGAACAGTGCCAATCTTTTGATAATTATAAACTTACGTATACAAATGTTTTATAACAATGGGCAGTTCAAATAACGTCCAGATTCCTTTTCAATAAAACTATTTAGACACACAATATTAAGATATTTGATGACATATTAATAGATGTGAGCTTTCCAATTGCATATTGGACTAATCTGTATCATAGAGTTTGTCAATAAATGTGTTAGTTTTGTGTGTCTTAATTTATAGCATCACTATTTCGATTAATAAATTGTCTGCACAGTGAGTATGATAAAATGATATATTATACATGTAACCTAATTAAGTAGCTATATTAAACATTGAGTAAAGAAAAATGTTCAAGCAACCCAATATCTGTAAAAGACTATCCTCTAAATAGCCACAATTGGCAGCACTGATGAGGCAATTTGTACCCCCATGAAGCACCCATAGCCAAAAAAACAGTTCAAAAGCCAGGAATCGATAACCCATTAAGGAAAAATGATAAAGAAAGCAATTGGGAATAAAAAGTTGTTTCATTTGTAACCGATCAGACCTTTATACATTTAGTGTACTAGTACTATATAACTGAAAACACAATCTAAATTCATCAACGTTCAAACTTAAACAATCATAACCTCAAACAACCAAAGTCTAGGGAACGAAATCTGATACTCATAGTACATAATTCATCTCTCTCTCTATGCGTAAAACATTTTAAAAAAATCAAATGCCAGTTATTAGAATGGAAAGTTGAAGTACCTGGCCAAGTTTATCTTTTTATCCGAAGATTATCTCCACTTGCTCTAAATATAAGGGAAAAAACAAGTGCATCCAATCACCAAAGTTTACATAAATTTGTCACGAATCCATGCCACTGAGTGACACAATAGGATGTTCAAAATCAAAGCAGTTAAGAGTCAGTGTACACATCAACAATTGAATGTTATAGATGGGGTGCAAAATCACGTGGAATGAAAAACAAACAAACAGTTAGGGGTTCAGAAATTTTAACATATATTACTATAACTCAACCATCAGAAAAAACCCTCCAAACAGTTAGAAGTTTCAAATTATCAAATGAAATTGCACTCTAGCTAAAGCTACAGTGCCGCCGCTGCCTACTCTTGGAACAGAGTAATGTTTTAAAATTTAAGAATAGAATTTGAGACTTTATATCTTCTCTTGGTAATACAAGATGCAATTTTTATTCATAACTACATAGATTCATTGCGGTCAGATATTGGGCTCAATGTCAACATATATTGGACAATTCGATTTGATTTTACAATCTTCGATAACTCAGTTTAAGTTGTTGAATCATATGCAATTACTGGAAAATGAGTTATGCAAACAAAAACAGTATTCAATGAACGAGTAAATAAAAATGAGCAGGAAAAAGAAAATAAAAACTATCTTGTTTTGGTAATTGAAAATGTATATTAAGCAAAAGTGATTAAGGACGTAGAGAATTATCAAACAAAATATAAGATCAACACAGACTTACACAAGTAGAGAAAAGTGACAAATGGCAAGGCAAGAAGCAGATAAATCACACCGAAAATTCTCGCAACGAAATTGTAGGAATATAAGAAATTCAGAGAGGTAGGATAGGAAATAATGGGAGGGAGATGGGTACTTATACTGGTAGTGAAGGTGGTGGGGACCATACCGTTCAATGCCGGTGATTGTGTCGGATGAATTATTTCTTTGACAAAGAAACGTTAGTATGATTACTTATCTAAACAGGAGTAAAAGAACTAAAATTTTAAGATGATCTATGGTGAACTATTTAACGGTAAAAATATGTTAAATATCTCATACTCCGTTAAAATTCCAAACAATTAATTGTCCTGGCCGATGCTTACTGTTGAGTTTTGTGGCTCATTCCTATTGGACCGTTTACTTTGACTGAAGCCAATGTTTTTCTGGATAAAAAAAAAAAGGTTTCAGTCACGTGATGACTATGTTAAAGGCAGCAAGGAGCCAATATTATAAGGCATTGGATGCTTTTTCTTTCGGTTCGCACTTCCCATCACCAAAGAGGAAAAGAAAGGCAACCTATCCCATGCCTTTCAGTTCCTAAAAATGAAAGGCAAAAAAATGGAGCAGCATTATAAGGCATTCGATGCTTTTCTTTTGGTTCCCATTAGCAAAGAGAAAAATAAAGATTTTGGGCAATTACACATTCAAGATATTGGTGTTAATGCTTTTGGGAGAGACGAAATTATGTATTTTCATTTCTTCCTTTTTTTTATCTTTTTTTTTAGTGAGAATTATTGGGTGTGTCTAGGATTTGGAGTTTGAGAGTTAAAACTCTATTTGTGATCTCCATTAGTTATTAGTAAAAATTCCTTACCATCTCTGTACTGGATGTAGGCTTATGCCAAATCAGTATAAATCTTTGTGTCACTTTGAATTGTTTGTTTTGTCCAATTTTTCAGAATTAATTTATTAGTTTCACATTTGACGCTTTCAAACAACACTTACTACTAAGACCATCTCCAACCCTTGGTCTAAAACCTAAAATCTAGAAAATTTAGGTTTTAACTCAGAAACAACTTTTCTGCTCCAACCCTTCTGACCTAAAATTTTAGCCCTAAATTATTAAACAATGAATTTAGGCTAATTTTTTTCTTCTTAAAGTAACTTTTTTAAAAGAAAAAATTATGTAGATTATCTTAATTTAATTTTATGAACATTTTAACCAAAAAATATTTAGATTTTGAAAAATCACTAACCAATACCATGAAGCTCGTTAAACACTATGAAAAAAATATGAAACACATAAAAGATTTTTTTTAATTACTTTAGCCGTTAGATTTAAATTTGGACCGTTTAATTTTTATTTTATTTTTACTGTTGAATTTCATCAAATTAAATCTTAACCGTTAGATTTTATGAATTTATAAATATAAAACTAAATAAAATATACATATATGGTGGGTCAGGCCCACTAATATTGTCCTAAATCTGGCTTTGTTTTAGGTTATAGGTTTTATGTCCAATTTTAAGCTTGGGTTGGGTTGGATTTGGAGGGGGAATATAAAGTGAAAAATAGGTTATAGGTCAGGGTTAGAGATGATCTAAAACAATGAGCTAAACCATTTAATCAAATTAAACTACAAGTTTACTACACAAAACTGCTCATATTGGTTTCATTTGACTGATTTGAATGTTTCATCACAAAAGTATAAAGATAAACTTTGATTAAAAGTAAGAACAAATACAAATTAGATGAGAACATCAACAATTAAACATTGGCGTCTAGTATCGAGCCAAAGACAAGTTGGAAGGACCTAGCAAGCAGCTCCATCAGCCAACATTTCTATCCAACACCACCACACAAATTAAACTCTCAACAAAAAAAATTAAATGTGAAAAAGAAAGAATGAATTACATAAAACGAGAATGTCAAAATAGCGGTGCAATTAACCTATTACGTATTATCACACCACAAAATTAATATTTTCTTTAAAAAAGCAACAAAGAAATCCCCATACAAAAACTGTTCACTTTTCAATACTCGTTGAAGAGAAAAAGCTGAAGAAAACACGTTAACACATGGACTTATAAAGGGAAAAGACAAGTATTTTCCACACAAAAAAGTGGAAGACTTGACTCTGATTTCCAATACTCGTTCCAAAGTGAAGGGACATTGGATTTCAAGCAAAAAAACAAGTGGAAGACATCATTGTGAGAAGGACATGGATTGTCTGCCCTCCCCCATTCCATCTCCTTCTCATCCCTTCCTATTTATGTGGTCACGGTTACGCTATGTTAACATTTTATATTGATTTTTTTTATGGAAATAATAAGACAATAAATAATGAAAATATAAAATGCTGACGTGACTTAACCGTGATCACAGAAATATGAGAGAATAAGAAAGGTATGGAATGGGTGGGCAGACAATCTAGGTCCTGTGAGAAATTTCCAAGAAGCTTCACCGTTTCTCTGCTTACCAAAGTGATTAGATGCGAGACTTGTGACTTGACTCTGAAGGTTTTTTCAACACAAGAGCAGTAGAGGGGTAATAACACGATTTTTAGCCCAAAATTTACCGCTCACATGTTATCCAACAAAGGTTCCTAATTCTTTTTATCAAGAACCTGGCTATTACACATACAGAGTCTAAAAATGAATTCTAGTTGCCAATTGCTGTACCAACACCTTGGGTTTGCGGTTCAATAGCTGCAAGACATATAAAGGGGGTGAGCGAAATCACAGTGCAGTAAGGTCATAAATCTCATCATGAATAATTGATCAAACTAAACTAAGTGACACATTAAATGTTAGATTAGTTATTGACGAAATTTGAATTCACACCGTCATGTAAGGACCTAACATTTTTTTACCACTATAATAAAGAGCTACTATCTAATTTAATAAAAATTATCGTGTTACCAAAAAAAAAAAAAAAAACAACAACAACAACTACTAAGTGACACATAATCATATAGATTTCAAGCATAAAAAATAAATTCTAGTTTCCAATTGTTGTACCAACACCTTAGGTTTGCGGTTCAATAGTTGCAAGATATATAAAGGGGTGTGCGAAACTACAGTTCAGTAAGAACATAAACCTCATCATGAATAATTGATCAAACTAAAATAAGTGACACATTAGATGTTAGATTAATCACCAACGGAATTTAAATCCACACCGTCATGCAAGGACCTAACACTTTTCTATCACTGTAATAAAGAACCACTATCTAATTTAACAAAAATTATCGTGTCAAAAAAAAAAAAAAAACAACAACTAAGTGACGCATAATCATATGGATTTCAAGCATAAAAAATAATAGTTCCATGAATGCACGAACGTTCCCTCATTCCCAAGGAAATCCCCAGACACATGTACTGCCATTACTAAAGAGAAAGGACAAAGATTTTCCATAATAAAAGTGACAGGATGCAAGACTTCCAAGTAAGTTTCCAACTTTTTTACTAGAATATCGAGAAAAAATATTCATGTTCTTGTTGCAGTCTTATTGGAATAGAAATGTGATTGTGTAAATCCTAGTAGATATGAGAATGTATCTTATATTCCTATTATGAGTAGATTACCTATTAAATGTTGTAATCCTAAAAGGAAAAGTTTTTACCTATCCTACTACTATAAATAAAGGCACAATGGGGTGAAATAACAAACACACACAATTACTCATCTCTCTCTTTGTCTCTATCTATGCCGCACCCCTGTCTCTCTCTGGCCTCCATAATTGTTCAGTAAATTATGCCTACAACACGTTATCAGCACGCTCTTGACGCTGCGCTAAAGAGAGTTTATTCTTCAATCAGGGGAGCATTATGTTTTAATCATTCTTGTTATGATTAATTTATTATTTTCTTGAATTGATCTACATGCTATTGATTCAATTTAATTTTTTTATGTTGAACGTGATACAACGCATTGGGATGCAATTCCGGCTTTCCGAGAAGGATCTTCTACAAATTCAAAGGCTTTTATTGTTTTATGCCAATCAGGTACGCTTAAAATAAAGTAAGATATTTGAAACGACCATGAAGCATGAAAAAATTCCCCATGATGCATGAACCCCCCTATGTTTATATTTTCCTTCCGATATATATATTGTATATGTTCATATATTTGTTTTATGCCTTACGCAATTATAAAATCGCTATGTGGAATTTGTGAGTCAAAGTATATTCATAAATTAGAAGCAATTATAAGGTTTTCCTAAACCTAACAATGTCGGAAAAAAAAATCTGGGTTGA